ACGGTGCAGTTACCGTTACTGTATAGCGCCACTTTTTGTGGCGTTATATATAATTTGGTAACTCTTTTTTTTAACATTTATTTGCATATTTTAAGTAAAAAAAACTATATTTTGGTTCCGGACTCGAAGAAATTTTAGGTGAGTTTGGGAAAGCTTTCCTAGAGATCCTTTCCATCTTCCAAGTTTCCACCACAAGTCCCCTCGCAACCCAACAATAGTCATCCCAATCATGTGACTCACCACTTTCAACAATTCCCTTCCTACCAAGACAAAAATATCAAATCAGTTGGCAACGCAATTTTTACCACAAAAATAAAAGAACAATTAAAAGTCTACAAAAAAAAGTAATTCGGTGCACAAAACATCTCGCATGCATGTAACATTTAGAAAGATCGTATTTTAAGAATTTTAATGTAGATAATTTATCTTAATACAAATATTAACAGATAACTTTCACGACTTAAATATGTTGTCCCAAAACTTTCCTAAAAAAATGAAAAAGATTTTCTTAAAATTTCTCCTAGCAGTATGGAGCAGGTCAAAGGAGACATGGAATAATAAAAAAATAGATAATAATCCATGTGTGAAATGACAGTAATTGCCCTTAAGAGAGTGACAGGCTGACAAGCTTCTTAGAAACAGAGAGGCAATTGCAGTGTGCAAGAACCAAAGCCGACCAGTAATTAAAATCTCTGTGATTTGGTTGTCATCCTTAGCTGAACCCCCCNAATCAAGAATCATCAATCAATAATCTCCCTCTTCCTACGAAAAAAGAGAGTTTTTTTATTTTAAGAAAATAATGGCTGGTACAAAAACCAATGATTTTCAAGATATGTTACCAATGATGGCAAATAAGCTAGGTGGGGATGGTTTAATAAGAGAGTTATGTAATGGGTTTCAGCTATTAATGGATAGAGAAAAAGGGGTTATTACTTTTGAGAGTTTGAAGAAAAACTCAGCAATTCTTGGGCTACAAAATTTAAGAGATGATGAGCTGCTGAGTATGTTAAGAGAAGGTGATTTGAACGGGGATGGTGTTCTTGATCAGATGGAATTTTGTGTGCTTATGTTCAGATTGAGTCCTGAATTAATGGAAGAATCTGAAGATTTGCTTGAATTAGCTTTGCAACAGGAATTCAAGACTAATCCAACAAGGTGATTTGATATCTGATGTTCCATTTGAGACTCGAAAGGGACATCATTTGAAGCTTCATTTGTGTAACTTACTTTTTCTTTCTTTGATTCTTATATGTCTTGTTTATGCTGAATTTTGGAAAGGAAAATGTTATTGAAAAGCTGGAAACAAGAATTGGGTTTCTGATTTCTGACCCGAATATACAAATTCTTTGTAATTTCATTTGGAATTTTCTGCTTCAGGTTTCAATTTCCCTTTTTATTTTCCGTTTGACATATATGCTTTTAAAGAAGTAGCCAAATCCAACAATGTGCCTATAACGGGTCAAAATACGAAATTGGTCAATCAATCAAAACTAATTGTATTAGTTACTCACAAGGTATTGAAAATATGTATATTATAGGTACATGATACAAATATATTTAAAAAATATATATTTTATCAACTATTATTTTTTGAAGCGACTAAAAACATAAAATATTTCTCTTTAATGGAAGGTAGCAAATTTCTGATAACTACGCGCAAACTAACTTGACATCACTATTACGAAAATCAAGCTAAAAGCCGGCTTATATCTGCATAATTGATCTTCAATAGGTGAACATAATAATCTAGTTATGAGTATCGGTAAGTATCAATTTCGAGTAAAATATTTAAATACTGATATAAAGATGTAGTAGGAGTATTAGTTTGCACTTTTAGTTTCTTAAATTTTACAAACTTATTTTTTTTCTAGCGAGGAAAAAGTACACCAGTTAATCAGGCCGGGCTGGCCCGTTCACAATCCGGTTTAGTCCGGTACTGTAGTGTTTGGGGCGGACTGAAACGGGTTGGGCGGGGAGCGGATTTTAGACGAATATTTTGGGAAACCGGTGCACCAAAACCCGCTTAGTCCGGTTATCCGTTAACGGGTTTTTACCGGGCTACAGCCCAGTCCAGTTTCCGTTACAATTTTTTTTTTTAAATTTTCTGAACCGTTGCCAACATTCAAATTCAAAAATGACCGTTGGTAAAGGCCCTTTTTTGCAAAAATGGCCATTTTGGCCTAGCCCCTTAAGGAAATAGCCCCCACCCCTAATATTTGATAAATTACAATTTTAACCTTTTAAAAACTATAAATAGCCCATCTTCTTCTTCATTTTTTCTCATAATTTACTCTCTTGCTACTCTAATTCTCTCTTAATAATATTGATTATTGTTCTTAAATTCTCAATTGCTTATTATTTCAAGTTTCATCAAATATTTGGTTTATCCATTACAAAATTATTATTATCAAATATAAAGTATTCAAGTGAAGTGTGGTATCAAGTTATCAACTATCAAGTATCGATCTATCAATAGAAGTTTGATTTTTATTTTTTATATCAAATTTAGTGCAGCATTCGGAATCCCGATACGCTTGTTCCATCTCTTTCTCTTTTTTGGTGTATATTTTTATTTATTTAGAATTATTAATTTAATTTTCTTAATGGATTTATTAAGAGCAACCAAAAAAATGTGCATTAGTAGGGGTGATAGTAGTAAGAGTAGAACTTCTAAAAAATCAAGAGGTGGTGCTGGTTCTTCTAGTAGCTTTACACATATTTCTGAAAATTTAAATGTAGATCATGAGCGACTTCAAGAAAATTATGGTATAGATGATGATTTAGATGATATTCAATCACCTGATAATCTTGAAACACCACCAGCTACACCTGGTAATGCTAGTCAAACTCAAAATATTAGGGGTAGAGGTTGTGGTAATACAAGTAGGCCTTCCCTCCCTATTAAAAGGAATCAAAAATTAAGAAGTAAGTGTTGGAATTTTTTTGACAGACTAGAAGAAGATAAAAGTTTTGTAAGATGTAGAATTTGTAAGGATGTTTATAAATATGAGTCCGACAAGGGAGGGAGAACGGGCATAGGCACATGGTAGAGCACTACCCTATTGATTGAGGAGTAGATGAGGAAGATGGGCAACAAAAACTTAACCCGGGTACTGGGGGGTTAATGGGTAAATACGATATTAAGAAAGATCGGGAAGAATTAGCTAAAATGATTGTTTTAGGTCATTTACCTTTTAGTTTTGCTGCTTCACCATACTGTTACTTATATTCAAAAAATTTATAACCTCTTGTTTAAAGGTATTGCTAGAAGTACTTGTAGAGCTGATATCTTTAGGCTTTTTAGACAATATGAGACATATATACGTTATTTGTTCGCCAGTATTTCTTGTAGAGTTTCTCTTACTTCTGATATTGGTCGTGCTGTAAATGGAAATGATTATTTGACAGTTACATGCCATTGGATAGATGATAATTTTTGTATGCAAAAACGTATTATTGCTTTTAAATATGATGAAGATCAAAGTCACACTGGTGCATTTATAAGTAATACTATCCATGAAGTTGCTATATTTTATAATCTTGTAGAAAAAGTTTGTGTATGTCATTTGATAATGCTTCTAACAATAATGCTGCTATTACAATATTAAAATCGCATTTACACCCTCCACTTTCTGAAATATTTTATGTTAGATGTGCATGTCATATTTATAATTTAATTGTGAAGAGTGTCCTTGAATAATTTAAAGATGAGATCACTTTAGTTAAAAGAGTTGTCGGTGTAATTCAAGAAAATAATAGAAGTGCTAGATTAAATGCATTTAAGAAAAATGTGTACAATATGGACTAAAACCAAGACTCATGCCTGAGGAAATAGTTACTATGGGGAATTATACTTATTTATTCTTAAGATGGTGTTATAAATATAAAATACCTATAATTGAAGTTGCTAATTCTCATTGCACCGATCCTAACTGTTTGTTAACATCTAGAAATTGGGATGTCATTTAAGATGTTGTAAAACTTTTACAAAATTTTTATGTGGCTACACTTGAGTTTTCTGGAGCTTATTATCCTACTATTGCAAATAGTTTAGTTCATATTGCTGAAATTTCTCTTTTACTCCATAATTTGAAGAAGAAAGAAAGATGTACTTCTGTTGTTGAATTTATGCTAGAAAAATTTAAAAAATATTTCTACCCAATTCCCCCTATTTACCTAAGTGGTGATATTTTAAATCCTTCTATCAAAATGGGCACCCGTCGCCAATTAATCACTGCTTTATATGCTTATATGGATACTGGACCAACTGAAACTCCTGATATTGAAACTTGTATTTATGATCTACACAAACATTTACAAACTTTATATAATTATTATGCTAACATTATTGATGCTTCTTCTGCTGTAGATGCAAATATTCCTTCGAGTTCAGTTTCAACATCTGGGGCCGATATTTGGATGATAATAATGGTATTGAAGATTATTTGATTTGGTCTACACTATGAGAACATCAACAAACCAGTAGCACGAATATTGATGAACTCCAATTCTACTTGCAAAAGTCAATAGAGCCCCGCACAAAGGAATTTCTACTGTTGGATTGGTGGAAGAGCAACTCAAATCAATTTCCTGTTCTTTCGGCCATGGCTCGAGACGTGCTAAATGTGCCAATTTCAACAGTTGCATCAGAGAGCGCATTTATCCAAGCAAGGCAGCAACTAGGAGATATCCGTCATTTATTGGGCAGCAACGCTTTGAAAATTCTAGTGTGCTTCATAGATTGGATAAGATCAGAACGGCGAAATCAAGGGCGTGACGAGGTAGATGAAGCAGAGGACCAAGAAATTGGAGATATAATGGTTTATGGTTCCGATTCAAGCAATGCCGGAAACCAAGAACCGCATGTTAACATGGATGAACTTACAAAAAAGAAAAAATATAAAATGAAAGCCTTCGGTGCTTGATCCTTACATATTTCCTATTGGTCTTATTAAATAATTTTTTGTAGTCACGTACTTTCAAATTTGAATTTTAAAATTTTAAATTTAAAACTTTAAAGTTTAATTCTAAGCCTTAGAAGTTTGCAAACTTAAGTATCAATAATATTGAATAAGAAAAATAAAATTTACTAAAAAGAAATAAAATTAGTCCTGTAACGACACAACCAGTCGTTTTGAGCTCTAGCGCATCATTTACAAGTTTGAGACCATGAGCATCTTCACTTAAGGTGTTATGACTTGTACGCATGGTCGGAATTGAATTTCGAAAAGTTCGGAGTTGATTTGGAAAGAGAATTCTCATTTCGGAAACTTTAAGTTGAAAGAATTGACTAAGATTAGATTTTTGATTAAACAACCTCGGAATTGGGATTCGAAGGTTCCAGCAGGTTCGTATGATGATTTCGGACTTGGGGGTATGACCGGATCGGGTTTTGGAAGATCCGAAAACGTTTCGGCACCTATTGTGGAAGTTAGCATTTTTGGAAGAATTTCATAAGTTTGGGTTGAAGTGCATTTCAGTGTTATCAATGTCTGTTTGGGATTTCGAGTCTGGGAATAGCTCCGTATGGTGATTCTAGTGTTGGAAGAACGATCGGAAGTGAATTCGGAGGTCCGTGGGTCATTTTTGAGTCATTTGGCTAAAGATAGAAATTTGAAGGTTTTTGAGGAGTTTGACCGGAAGTGGACTTTTTGATATCGGGTTCGGAATCCAATTTTGGAAGTTGGAGTAGGTCCGTAATGTCGAATGTGACTTGTGTGCAAAATTTGAGATCAATCAGACGTGATTTGATAGGGTTCGACATCGAATGTAGAAGTTTGAAGTTCTAAAGTTCATTAAGCTTGAATTGGGGTGCGATTCATGATTTCCATGTTGTTTGATGTGATTTAAGGCCTCGAGCATGTCCGTGTTATGTTATGGGACTAGTTTGTGTGATTGGACGGGGCCCCGGGGGCCTCAGGTGTGTTTCGGGGTGGTTTCAGATCATTTCAGGTTGTTTTACAATAGCTGATGCTAGTGTCTGGTGTTGTTCTTCGCGTTCGCAAAGAAGGATTTGGCTTCAGGGACTGTTCTTCGCATTCGCGAAGAAGGAAATCTCTGTTGCATAGGTCTGATTTCGGAGGCTCATATCTCACAATCTATAAGGAATTTGAAGATGATCCAAAATTGAAAGTTGTAGCCCTTTGTGTCTAGTATTCAGAAACGTAAACCATTTAGCATTTGGATTTGTGTATAAAAAGTATAGTTGGTATACTAAGTGCTGTCCGGAAAGATGAAGAAGAAATTTGTGTTGCACAGGGCTGACTTTGGCAGCTTATATCTCAAAATCTACAAGGAATTGGAAGATGACCAAAAAATAAAAGTTGTAGATCTTGGTGTCTAAGTTTCAAAACATTAAACCATTTGTTATTTGGAGTTTATACC